ATATATATATATATATATATATATATATATATATATATATATATATATATATATATATATATATATATATATATATATATATATATATATATATATATATATATATATATATATATATATATATATATACACACATAGACATATATGTCAATAAATATACAAATCGCTGGAATGAAAGCACAAAATGCCAGTTTTTTGTGAATACTTTTTTATTCATAAAATTTCTACTCGTAATATTATATTTATACTATTTAGTCTAAAATAACAATTCTACAAGTACAAAAAGCTACTATAAATATCGAAAAATGTTGTCTTGTATTCAGCTTAATTAAAGAGTAATATACAATTCTTATTATATATTAGTTAATGGAAATAAATATAATTCTCGTTATGCTTTGCTAAACAAAAAAATCGGTTGACAAAAGTTGTAGGTTGTATAAGTCAGGAAAATATAATAATTGGTGAGAGTTCAGAAACATATGCGAGGAAAAAAACTACATGAATAAAAGTTTTTAGTGCGTAGAAAGACAGATACAGTAAAAGGATGCAACTTTGCTGAATGACAAGTCAAGCAAGAATTAGTTAATGGAAATAAAGATAATAGCTCGTTTGAACAACGACCATGATAATATTTGTATAAAAGAGAAAGTAGTACCACCTTACAACGATGGAAAAGTGGTTCAAGATTAGCAGATAAAGAAATTTTAAATACATCTATAATGCGTTTTTGGACTGTGTATAGAAAGAGCATCATTAGAAAAACCAGCCCAAATATGAAAACAGTAGTCCATACAGAGACGAAAAAAAATTTGAAAAGATAGAAAATGGAATCAAGAGTAAAATAATGGCAAACTAGATAAAAAAAAAAAGAACAACCTTACAAATGTTAACTTTGCGATCGATTGTATATATGGTTATCATCAATTTTGATGATATCATAAATGATTTTATCAACAAAAAAAAAAACATATATAATATTATTAAAGGTTATCTTATGAATATCAATTATTAGGTATATCAATGTTGGTTTCTTAAATTGTGATATCCTATTACAGTTTTTATATTTTATTCAACGGAGTATTTAATCAACTCTCTGTAAATAATATACTCTATGATTATCAGTAATAAAATAACTCAACTGAACACGCAGTAGTTTAACCCACTCAATGCATTACTGATTCCTTTGAAAAATTCTAATTTAGTTCAGGCATTTTTATAGACTTACCTAAAACTTTTGATACTATTAATTACAATATTCTCATGAAAATATTCAAACAATATGATATCATTAGCAAATTCTTAACATTAAAAAACTACTTAAAAAATCGTAAACAATTTGTTAATGTCGATGCATCGTTGTCTTCCAATGTTTTAGAATTATTATGTGGAGTTCCACAGGGTTCCATACTTGGACCACTATTATTTTATATTTATATTAATGATCTCCATAGAGCCTCTACCTTAATGATAATAATGTTTGCGGATGATACTAATCATTTTTTATCCCACAACAACACCAACAAGTTATTTCATGCTATGAATAATAAACTAAAGAAAGTTTCCGACTGGTTTAAATCAAATAAACTTTCGTTAAACATCGAAAAAACAAAATGGATTTTCTTTCATCCAGCTTCAAAAAAACATATGCTACCGCGTGAAATGTTTGTGCTTATCATTGATTCATATAAAAAGAGTCATGTATACAAATTCTTTAGGTATTATTATAGATAAAAATCTTTCATGGAAATACCACATTAATAACTTATGCAACAAAATTTCTAAAAGTATTGGAATTCTTTATAAATCAAAAAGCATTTTAATAAGACAAATATTGGCAAATCTTGCATTCCATTCCATGGAGCATTTTTATGGAATAAAATAGTTTTGAAAAATTTTGATTTTACTTGGGAATGGAGTTATTATTCCTTTAAAAAAAAACTAAAAGAAATTTTTTTGATTGATGATATTTTTCTCTATTTTTGAATTTTTGCTTTTTAATCGCTTCCTAAAGTATTTGAACATTTTATCTTTTAAGATTACTTTTAAGATTACTTTTAAGATTATTACTTCTTCAGTATAAATACTGAAGAAGTAATATATAAGACCGGACATTAAAAAAAGACTGAAAAATCTCTTTGGATGCTAATAAAAAGTGGGAAAGTCAACTTTTTATAAACTTTGACATCAAAGGCGACACTTTTAACTTTTTAAATGATATTTTAATAAAATTTCAATAACATTTTAAGTTTTGTAAATTTAAACAAATATATTTGTTTTCGTTTATTTGTTCAACAAATATAAATTTGTTAAGCAAATTTGTCCAACGAATATATATTTGTTAAACTAATTGGTATGCGAATATATTCTTACATTACAAATAATTTAAACGAATATTTTAAACAAATAGTTGTTGACGAATAATTTAAACGAAACTTTCTAACGAATATTCGTATACCGATATTCGTTAAACAAATATTCGTCCTTCTCTAACTGCGAATACGACAATAAAAGCGGTGGTAAATTATTAGATTTTATTTTTTATTCTTTCCTAAGACACGTTTTTTTTTTTTAAGTGGGGAAGAAGTTAATTAAATCATTAAAGTCATTAAGAATACTTAAAAATCATCAACTTAAGAATCATTAAAAATACTTTAGAACAATTTTTATATCTTATTTATAAAACTGAACGTTTTAACAAATAAAGCATCATTTTGGGTACTGATTCCAAAATTGAGAGCAGATTATAATTAGGACTGTACCGGATTTCGGCTCCGGCTCCTGCTCCGGCCGAAATCCGGCCATTTTTACAAATCCGGCCCAAATCCGGCTCCGGCAAAAATTTAGCAAATCCGGCATAATTTTAGCCGGAGTTTTGAATTTTGTCAAATATTTATTACATTTTTTTTGCCCGTGTTTACATGTATACCTAATATTTTATTTATAAAAATCAATTTTTTTTGTAATTCTATATTTTATGAACCTCATATTTGTTTTGGTATTTGTATTTATATTTCTTTATAATTTAATAAGCTTAGTCTAATTTCAAACAACAACGCAACAAAAAATTCTGAAGGGAAGACACACGATATTCTACAATGATGCAGGTATAAAGACTATGATGTCAACCCTAATCAAGTGATTGGATGAGCCTTTTAAAAGCATTGAAAAAAGAAACCTCTTTATATACTAACGAGGCTGGTTGACTCACAATTTAAAACTAAATTCTCCTCATTACAGGCAACACTGACAGCTGAAAAAACAAGATTGAAGTCAATCTGAGCATGGTGAACAGAAAATTGACAAAAATGAAGAAAATCCACCAAATAAGCCGGGCTTAATAATTTTTCTACATCATCATCATCATTACTCTGGCAATTTATTGATAAAATTATTCAGTCTACGTCCGCTGGTGGCAGGGCACATAAACAACAATTACTAAAAGGCATTAAAACTCAACTAAGGAAATATCCGAAAGAACCAGAAATAAATAGACACAATGATCCACTACAGTGGCGGAGTGACAAAATCCCGGAAAAAAGTTCAACAGAATTACTATAAACTTTTAAAACATATGGCCTATAGAATTTCTTTAGAATTTCTATTAATTTATATATAGAAATTGCTATAAAACTTTTTAAATAACAACAATGAAGTTTAACAGAAAACAGCAGTCACTTGGTATTCTGAATAGTCCACATTGTTGACCATGCTCAACACCAAGTAGGGATGTACAGGATTTTGGCTCCTGTAGTTTTGTTTTGAAATGCGGAAAAAAAGTTCAACAGAATTACTATAAACTTTTAAAACATATGGCCTATAGAATTTCTTTAGAATTTCTATTTTTTTGGATTTTTCTGGATTTTGGCTCCTGTAGTTTTGTTTTGAAATACGGCTCCGGCTCCGATTCCGGCCGGATCTGTCAGTAGAAATCCGGCAAATCCGGCTCCGGCCAGATTTGAAAAAATTAAATCCGGTACAGCCCTAATTATAATAAAGAATATACCTTTTTGATTCTAGAGGAACCGTGTCATTTGGGCATACTGGAACAGGTGTGAGTGAAATGAGACAAGCAATTAGATAACCACAAATTTACAAAAATTATTAACAAAATGCAAATAAAAATCGTATTGTAAGTAATCTTCATCAAAATATTCCAGAGGTTTCCACAATTACACAAGAGTGACGAGGAAAGTAATGACGAATGTGAGAAATCAATTAATTTTCTTTGTCACATTTCTTTTAAAAAACACTTTTGGAAGTACGTTTTCCCACTCTCCTCTACTTGCTGATTGTATTTAAAATAAAATGAAACAAAAAAATCTGGAAATAAAATTCATACGGATTCCGTCTTATTATAATTATTTGACGGCATGGTTTTGTGTTCCTGTCATTTTAACAAACTCATTTTTTCGGTCTAATTTTTAAAAATTTACATTTTTAAAAATTACTTGTTGGATATTAAAACAAATAAAGAGTGAGACTAATTTCGGAGAATGGTCTCTGTTATCCAAAATATTTTAAAAAAACTCGTTGAACCTGTTTGAAAGGTGCGCAACATTTTATCCAATTATTTGTTGCATTTTCTTTCAAGTTATTAAACAATTAGTATAAAAAGGTGAGTAATAAATATCTAAATAAATTTATAAATTACATAAAATTCTAACTAAATAAATTTATAACTTATAGTCAGATTAAAGAAAATAGTAAAAATCTCTAATACTATAAAAATTTTATTTAAAGAAAACTGCCAAAAAATAAAACAGCAAAAAGTTCACAAAATTAAAATTGTAAAAATTGTCAAACTTTTTACTAATTAATAAAATTATTTGGTTAAATTCAAATTTTAATTCTAAATTATCTAATCTTTATATTTAAAAAATGACACAAGCTATAAAAATTTATAATCTAAAAAGAAATACTAGAGTTTTATATAAAGTTAGTTCATAGATTTAGATAAAAAAAAAAAATCATATGTAAAAAAAGTTAAAATTAATGCGACAGATGTTAATAAAATCTACGTTAATATTTAAAAAATTATTAATAAAACAGACTTATTTTTGTATGTTTTTACATAGGAAACAGTCTATATATTTTTAAATTTTTAAATTGTTTTTTTTTTTCGACTTCATTAATTAAACAAACTCTGTATGCAGGACTGTAATTAAATGCATGGTTTATATTATGGGTATGGTTGGCAAAGGCTGGTGAATATCAAATGCAATAGTTTTAAGCTTGATTTCCTCTTGTTTATACAAATTTGAATCTATTGCCATTTGAAGAAGCGTTTTTTTACCTTCTATATTTCTAGCAAAGTTAGGGTCATTAGTTGAACTCAATAGTTCGCAGTAAATAGGTTTTAAATAAATATTTGATGGATTTTGTGAAAATTGTACATCGCAACATTTCTCTTCAGCTGTTGTCTTTTTATTTAATGTAGTGGTTTCTTTATCATTATTGATTGGTAAAACATTTTTTTTGAATTTTTCTTTTAACTGGTGGTTTATACTGCGTTCTCTATATTCGCTCTCTGTTTGACAATAGTTTAAGCTCATAACGCTATTATCTGTTGATAGGTCGGAATGCGATGTGAGGATTTGATAACTCCTTTTAGTAAGTTTTAATGAAATGCTTGCGCGGTATTTATTTTTGGTCTTCAAGCTTTTACACCTAGTATTATATTTTTTTTGGTTTAAAAAACTTGAACAATTTGAAGTGCTTTTTTTAACACTGGAACTATGAGAGTTCCTTTGTTTGTTGTTACTATAAGAGTTCCTTTGTTTGTTGTTACTATTAGATTTTCTCAATGATGCTTGGCTTATTCTACGGGTTTTTATTGAACTTTTGGTCTCTATTTTTTTTAAGAATTTCTCAGGAAACAGTTTGTTAACAGTCTCATTATCATTTTTTGTTGTATTTTTACTAGACAAACGAGTCTGATCATTAGACTTGGTTTTGTTATTAGATGTACCCAATATTAGCAACTTTGAACAACTGCGTTTTAAATTGCTCAAAGTACCTTTAACTGTGTAGCCATTTTCTTTATGTGCGTTAGGTTTAACTTCCGGAATTGATACCCTGTTTTTAATGGGTTGGTCGCTTGCTTTACGTGGTGGTGGAATTTTTGGCGCCACATCGTCTCTGTCGCCATTAAAACTAAATGCTTTTTTAAGTCGGCTACTTAATGATTGAGTGCTTTGGTCTATTAAACAATTTGTTGAATGAGCTTTAAATGTGAAAGGTATTGTTGCGTATAAATCGTCATCGCTTTCATCAACTTTTTTTTCCTCGTACATATTGTTATCGTAAGTAATATCAATTTTGTCATACTTATGTGTAAAATCATTAATAACAAGTTTAGTGTTGTATTCAATAATTCTATTAACCGTCATGTTAGTGGTAAAAGAAAAGTTATTTAAAACTGGTTGGTCACATAATAAATCTTCTCCATTAATCATCGTTGGTGTTATACTTATCTTTAGCTGAGCAAAGAGTAGGCCTATAAATATATCACAAGTATATAAAACAATACTCGCATAAATTATAATATTATAGTAAAATGCAAAATGAGTCGTAAAATTAATTACCTCCATTGATTATTGATAATCAAATTGATTTAGAGCATAATTATTCAAAATAGTACAACTACACAATTTTTTTTTATAAAATTTTCTTTCAAAATGTTACAAAAAATTTATTTGCGACTACATAGCTAACATAGATACCTGCAGTACCCACTTCTGAAACTCCCAACCATCAATGTTGTTAGAATTTTCTACTCATTAAAATGCCAAAAGTTAAAAAAGGACTTGATTGTATATATAATAAACAGATGTGTTACTTAAATAAATGTAATCAAAATGTAATTTCTTTAGAAGCAAATACTTTGGCGTTCTATAATGTCATCTGACTACACTATCATTTGGCAAAACAGATTATTTGAATAAAGTTGTTCGTTATAAAAAAAGGTATTTTTTTTTTTTTTTTGCCGTCAAATTTAAACGATTTTGGTAAGAGTGGTCCAACCCTCAAAATGAAGCCCGTTATCACACCACCCTTCTATAAAAATATTATTGCTTAAGAAGTAAAGTTGAAACTTTTTTGCGAACTAAAAAACAAACTTCTGCGAGAAAAAAAAATAAGAGCGCATACATTTTTAATGATATAAATATTTAAACTATGATACTTTGTACGCGACGTAAATGAAATGACGTACATTTACTAATAATATAGATGAAATTAAATGTACATACATCAACTTACAAACTTTATTTATTATCATTTTAACTACATTATTAATTATTTATTATTATGTTGTATCGTTTTATATAGTTATTATGTAATAAAAACTTTTGGCTGTAATAAAATAACAATCGTGGTTATTTTATTTGTGTATAACTTACTGTAAACAACTTTTATTTTTTATATATAACTTATTAAGCAAACCTGAATGAAGCTTGTTCTTTTTGAAAATATTAATGATTTTTGTTGACAGTTATTGTTTTTAAAAACTATTACATAAAGTTAAAAGCAATGATATTTTTTATTATAATTTAAATTATTAAAAATGAATTCTGTTCATTGCAAATTCTGTACATAACTGTTGGTATATTTCTACGTAAACTATGAAAGGTTAAACGCAAACCGCAAATTGCAAGCGATTTTTTACGAACTAAAAATTTAATTTTAAAAAACCACACATATTTTTTTTAGGTTTTTTTAAACTGTTGAATAAGTGAAACGTAAAATATAGACAAAAAAATTTAAAGAAATTCAAAAAATTATATATTTAAGCTCCAAATTAATTATTTTTTAAGTATGGCTACTATGGTTGTTTATATTACTTAACAAGGGCAGATCCGGGATTTAGCGTAGGTGGGTATTATTATTATTTTATTTATTTAACACCCAATTTACAAGGTAAAAAGAAAAAAATAAGAAAGTTATTTCGGATGACTTTGCTTAAAAACGTTTTCTTCCAGAATTTGCTTGAAAACTCCTCTTTGCTCTTTTGCATTCCAGCACTCTATTGCATACTTCAAGTTTCGTTCAACTTCGGAAGGAATTTTACTTTTAGAAAGTGGTATTTTTACCTTCTTTTTATTTTGAATTAGGTTTTGAAAATTTAATATCTGAAGATGGCATAGTTCCTGAATATCACTAACAAACGAATGTTGAAATAACGGGTGTTGCAGTTGTGAAAAGATAATGTCTGCAGTTGTTTTGTTATTAAGAAGTCGAAGGAACAAGTTTAACTTATTTTGTTGAACACTTTTTGAAATTTCCTGGATTTTAAATAACGAATTCATATAGTTTTTACTATGTTTTGAAACATTTAAAAACGATATTGTACGTTTGAATGCTACAAAGTCTGAAATAATAAATTGAATACTAGTTTTATTTTTTTTAATAAAAAAATATTTTGCGTCTGAACACATTTTAACTGTACAATCTATTGTTGCACATTTACCATTCTAGTTTTCTAATTTTCATTCATTATATCTTTTGTCATGTGATACGTCGTTTGCTAGACATTCTAAAATTAAGATATCAATCTAAAAACGAAACAACCATTTAAATAATTAAAGCTTTAAACAGAGAGTGTTGCTTTCAAGCCGATAAAAATGCAAGGGTCATGATTACTTGAGTAAATGTGTTGATGCTAAGTTGATATGAGAGTAAGTTTTAGGGTAGTTTTCATGCGGAAAAATTTGTTTTAACTAAACATTAGATTAAAAAAAATTTACTGATTAATTAAACTTTATAAGGTGAAAAAAAAAAGTTTTTTATTTTAAGAAACTCAGACTTAACAAATAAAAAACTCACTTAGGCTGAATAAAAAATCTTTTTACTTAGGCTAAGTTAAATAGTTATGTTTTGTACAAAAAAACAAAAAAAAAAACCTTACACAGGCTAAATAAAATAAACAAAAATAAAAGAAAGTGTTACTTAAGCTAAAAAGAAAAACTTTTACTTTGGAATAATAAAAACAAAACTGTTGCTAAGGCTAAATAAAACAAATAGAAATAAATAAAACAGAGTTCTACTTAAGTAAATAAAAGAAATGCTACTTTAAATCTAAAAATAAAAATGCTTAGGTTAGTACACATTGTTTTTGTTCTATAAGAAACCTGCTTATTTGTAACCAGTACTAGAAACCAGTGAATTTTTTGTGAGAGGGTGGGGGGATGTTGAAATATTTTTGTATTTTGTAACACAGTTACGTCTCCTCAAAAACAAAAAAGGTCCTCAATTTCTAAGATATTTTAGGATTTTCAGACTCTGGTGGGGGGGGGGGAGAGGGGGATGCATACCCCTTCCCCCATCCGTCACTGCTAGAAACGCTATAACCATAAGAAACTTTTAGTACTAAATTACTTTTCAATAAAGATCGTATTTTATTAAGAGTTCGAAGATTATTTTCTAATTTTTCATCTATATATGGGCATTTCCAAAAAAATCATTATCAGAAACTCGTAAATGTTTTGTCTAATATTTTCAAATAACAAAATTCTTCAATTTACTCTCATTTAATTTAACCTATATACAATTTTGTAAAAAATTGTTTTCATTAGTAATCTTATCAAAGAATAAATCAAGTTGGAAGCGGAATCACATGAAATATGAAAAAAAACAAATTTTAGTTACTAGATAAATAAAATTTAATTCCTCTGAAAATTAAGTTAAAGTTACTTTTTCATATTATTTAGTTATATATTCATCGTTTAAGTTACTTTTTTTTTAAATTATTTTTTAGATATTAGTAAAGATTTTCAGAAAGTTATTGGATTGCACTGTGTATCATAGAGTCACACCAATTTTTTTTTAATGCAGATCACATATGGTTACGCAAAGAAGTCACGCACGGAAGTTGCGAATTTGTCAATTTCATGTAGTTATTTTTAAGAAAGTAAATTAATTGCGAATATTTCAAGTCAAATATTATATTTCTACGAATCATGTTTAATATATTTCTACAACTCATATTTAATTTTCGATGGAAAATAGCAGTCATCAAATTTTTCTAGCTATGGTATAGCATTTAGAAAATTATTGTATATTTTTCTAACTTTTGCAACATTAACACACACAAAAAAGTAACATTCAGGTAGCCTAAAATTTGAAAAAATGTTTTTATTATAGTTTTTTAAGAATAGTAAACATTGCTATAGGTCCCAGCTTCTCATTGTGAAAATGAAGAAAATAAAAAATCACGCGCAGAAATTTAAATGCCCAATGGGCATTGCCCATATCCCATCTACATAAAAAGGAGAACAACAGATTAAAAAAGTATTAAATTTGCAAGCTCAATCAAATAGAAAATTCCATTCGGTTGTGAACGGAATTCCCCAAATACGTTTATAAAATTAAAAAACTAAAGAAACTGTTAACTTTTATTACTAGATTATTAATTGCTTTTATATATTCAAATTATTTTTACGCTTTAGAAATTTTTTTTTAGTTTTTTTTAAATTTTTTAAGTATAAGCTTTCTATTAAAAATATAAATAATGAAAGTTATATATGCCAGCACTTTTATTAAGAAAGTTTTGTTAACAGCCAACGAGTATATACTTAAAAAATTGTATGAAACGTACCTTCTAACAAAGTTAAATTCTGAAATGAAACTTTTTGTTCATACTGCCTTAAATATAAATTTTCCCACTTTTCTTTTACTTCTTCTTGAAACATATCAGCGGTTATTCAAAAGTCTTTGTTTGTTTACTAAAATATTGAGAAAACGAAAGCAAATTTTATTAAATTTTTATTTGGTGTGATGGTATTAAGTACACTGCAGACAATACCAGGAAATCATTAAATAATAAATGCTTATCGAAATGGATAATTATAACAGAATTGAAGAAAATTTATAGTGCGTAAAATACATACAAAAAGTATAAATTAGCTTTGATTACGAAATAAAAACTTTTTCTGCCAAATATTATTATACGTAGTTCAAATAAAATACAAAGTGCTTTTATAAAATGTTTTATTTGTAAAATATATACTAAAATAGAGAAAAAAATTAGTCATGAAACAAATAAATGTCAGTGCGTTGAAACTAGTTATTTAGATAAATTGCTGTTTTGAACTTAATTTCTTTTAAATATAGGTAATACATATTAGATTAATGTGGTTAGGGGCGTTGAGAGTCAAGACAGGTTTATATTGCTTATTTTGTGTTAAATCAGGTACAAAGGCAAACAATGTTGTAAGTTGAACCTGTTTTTCAATTCATTTTTCCAACAAATTTTTAGATGCAATTTTTATTGTAAATTTATTACTTTTAAATTATAATTTAACATATATATACATTTCAATCTATATTGCAAAAAGAAAAATCATTTATTAACAACAGTATTAGCTTTTAACAATTTCAAAGTTCATTTTAAAGCTCCTAATATTTTGTTTGTATTTGTATGACAATAACTATCAGATTTAATTAGCTAATTATCACTAAGCGGATTAATTGGAATTAAATTTAGATGTATAATATAATATATATGTATATATATATATATATATATATATATATATATATATATATATATATATATATATATATATATATATATATATATATATATATATATATATATATATATATATATATATATATGTGCATAGGAATTGCATAGGAATTGACATTTTTAATTTTGAATCAAATCTCGAATCGAAGCAGGTCATAATTTGCGAATCGAATTGAATCGCGAATTGAATCAGCAATATGAGGAACTCCGAATTTAAACATTTTTTTATAACACATATTTCAAAAAAAATTAAATCAAATTGTTTTTGGTATACTTCTCGTTCTGATTAGCCTTTTAGCGTTTGCTTATAAGGTATTTTTGAATAAATAAAATTATTTTGATACCAAAGCACCTGATATCTATGAGATGGATCGGAAATATCCGGAAAAAACCGGAAATAAATGATTTAATAAAATTCGAAGCATTTTTTTCGAATCTCGAATCGATGCAACTATTAATTGTTGTAAAATTTGTAAAAGAAACTGATAAAAATAAAAAAAATAAAAAGAAAAATATCCAGAAAGCAATTTTTGATTAATTAAAGAAAGAAGAA